AACCTTAATTACTGCTTAATGTACCCATCAGCTATCGCGCATGCAGACGTATATAGCTCTACGACACGATGCTGTGATATTACACGTGTGTGAGGGGAGAGGTCAGGTCGCATGACTTACGTGCGATCTATGTCAGCGCATATAATCCTCGATCAATTGACGTGACCGCACGCAGAGCATGCGGCGGCAGCGTTATATGTTCGTCACAGGTGCACTTAAAGACGGTCGTAAAGCTGCAAAGCTTTATCGCCTACTAAAATAAATACCACGGACGCCGCACAGTTATGCGCGCGCAAGTACATATACATAGTAGTATAGCTAGTGTAGGTAGCACAGATACATTGTAGTAAAGCAAGTAAAGGTAGCTAGTACACCTACATACTAGTATAGCTAGTATAGGGAATACGGTTACATAGTTGTGTAGCCGGTGTAATTGTTGTATCGCCGGTATAGGTAAATGCATCTCCGGGAGCAGAGTAATTGAGCTAAATATATACTCGCGTACACGTCACGCGTATGTATGAGCAAACGAGGCCTATTTGAGTTTCTTATTATGCTTAAAGGCATACTAGGCCCATTGATTATGCAATGTTGACGAATGCTATAATAACTGGCACCTTGTGTAGTTAATAAGTATACATAACCTTATTATAGCCAGACGCGTATTTGTTTGTCCTATCACTGCTGGTTACTAAGAAATGTCTAATTGAAATCAACGCTGTATGTTCACATTCCGTTCTGTAATTGACTAATTGCACATAAGGACGTTACACTTCTATATGTTACGAACCCCTGCTACTTTGCGCTACTGCTATACTTCACACGTTCTGTTCGCGTTTCGTGCGCATGCGCGTTCTCTATCAGACTGCTTGCGCCAGTGCGTCGGAATGATGGCCGTTAGAGATGTCCACTCATGCAGCCGATTACCGCCTGTCGCAGACAAGGGTCCAATTGCTTAGCAATGACCGCTGCCGCTTCGCCCACTTCTCGTTCCGCCGATAAATGGGGGATGCAAATGACCGGCGAATGGCCGAATCCTATCGTGATATACGCATGCAATTATTACAGCCGCATTTCGTTCAATTTGCGAACCAATATAGCCTAGGAAGTCTTGCTGCGTTCGTGCGTCATCGTGCGTCTATGTCAGCTAGTGGAAATCTACGCGTCCGCCCACCACCACCACCACGCCTCTACTGCTATACCCACCATGCTGTCCAATATTGAGATATACTCTCGCCCTCCGTCTCTCGTTCTTCTCCGTTGCCACGACAGACGGTTGCTCGTCTTTCCCAATGTTATAACGAATCCCCCATCTCGGGTTCTCCCTACATACTGTCCGGTTTCCCCACGCTGTCACATACCCCTGTGTTACGTGATCACATGTTATCTCACGCCGTGGCGTACCCCTCTGCTACATGCTCAAACACCACGCTGTTACATATCTTCTCGTCCACTACTTGTTAACATGTTACACACATGTGTTCGTTACATACCCCCGCTATATCCTACCATGGTGATTAATGCTGCCGTATGTTATCCCATGCTGCTACATAAGATAGATATACAACGTTCTTCGTGCTAACCCTTGCCAGGACACCCCGCCTTGTAACATGCCAACATCATCGTCCATCTGTTTACGCATGATGGCCCAAAGGAGTTAGTATATGCAGCGTG